ATCCCTCGCTCCCAGAACCGTCACACTCATCACGGCCGAATTATCACAAATGACGATCGAAACGGACGCCCGTCGCTTGTTACAAGAGAATATTCGACGACTGAAGGATATGGGATCATATCGGGGTAGACGTCACGCAATGGGTCTGCCAGTCCGTGGTCAACGAACAAGGACACAGACGGCAACGGCCAACAGACTGAACAGGGTGGAACGACGAGGTTAAGCGCATCATTGGAAGAGTGGGTTGCCTAGAGTTGGGTACGAATATCGGCAAATATCCCCCGAGAGGATGTTATGGCATGTCTAAATGCTAGAGAGATTTTACCGACGAGAAATGATAAGCCAGGCCATCTCCTTGTCATACAAGACTTGTATATATAATGTACGATCAAATGGAAATGAATTCAATATGGCCGTGCTCAAATGCGGTACTACCAACCTTACGCATGTTCCAATGAGACCTCCTGAGCTTCGTCAAACTTCATCTTTGGCAAATCATCCTCCAGCGGCAGCTTTCCTTTGGCCTGCAACTTAGCAGCAACAGTGTCGACATCTTTCCAAACGCGCAGCAGATTACCTCCAACAGCTTTGGCTGCATCTACATTGCTGACACCCTGTCGAAGCAGTTCGGCGATCAGGTCAGGATATTTGGTGACATCTTCAAGGCCTTCAGGAACAGATGGAATGCCGTCAAAGTCCGTACCGATACCAACATGATCGTAACCGATCAGGTTACCGATATAGATAATGTGCTGAGCTGCGTGTGCAAGAGTCGAGTTCTGGGGGTAAAACTCAGGAAGACCATTCTCCTTTCCGGTGTCAACACAAGAGATGAAGTCAGGGGCGATGTTGACCATGACTAGGGAGTTCCGCTTCTTGACGAGTTGTAGAACATTGTCCTTGACATTTCGGGGATGAGGGCAGACGCTCCAGGCGGAGCTGTGAGAGAAGATGATAGGGGCTTCAGAGCCAGTCCATTCATCCTTGCCGCCAAGTACATCCAACATAGTATCCTCACTGGCAGTCTTGGTTAGGATTGGGTTCATGGTGGGAAGTTTGTCCAACATACCTGACATGAGAAAGATCAACAATCATGCCGATGCGGTTCATCTCGCCGATAAGCTTGCGACCCAGGGGGCTCACGCCTCCCCACAATGGCTCAGCCTTCCGGTCAGGATCTGACAAAATCGCAGCATCGGCAAATTTGTTGTGACAGTTATGAGTCAAGGTAGCATAGCGTACACCAAGCTCATGGAAACGACGGAGATTAGACACCTTGTTGCCAATTTGATGTAGACCCTCGATACCAAAGGGTGAGATGAGCTTGCCCTGCTTGAAAGCCTCAAAGGCATTGGAGCTGTCGACCTTTTGAGAGAAGTGGCTAGGATAGGCTGCCTGCAGCCTGCTCATAACATCAATCTGGTCCAATGTGAACTGTACGCCTATATATGTGATTAGCAAGCTAGATGAATCAAGGACCATGACAAACTTACTCGAAGCATAGTTCTTGTCAGAGAAGTCGGAACCATTTGATGGACATGGCGCAAACAGACTCCAAAATGCACCACCACTCTGACCTTGGCGAAGACGGTGCAAGTCAACATGTCCAGGAAGCTCACCCTGCTCGAATGGCTGGGTGAAGTTGTCATCATAAATCTGGTTACCGTATGCAAAACGTAGCACGATTGGAAAGTCAACATGCCCGTCTGGAGTTACCAAGTTAATACATATCCTATCATGACAAGGGTGCAGGTCTCCATACCTATCAATGGCGTATGGCTGAGAATATGTCGTGCTCGCTCCTCGGGCGTTCGCAATCCGTTTCCATAGCGAGGAACACCATTGTAACGGTTACTGACTGGCCGATGCAACAGACTGAGTCCTAAGAGTGCTAGAAAAATAGCTATAATAGTCTTTCTAGGCGTTAATTTCGGTGTAGAGGGAGCTTCATGATGTGAGCCTGTATGAAGCTGAGATAGTAATCCTCCCTTGACTGATCTGTTTGCGCCCCTGGTTCTCGATGGCCGGGTGGTGTTGTATGATAGGAGAGGTTCCTGCCGCCCCATTGTGATAAAAATAAAATAAAATGAAATGAACAATGAATCAATGTAAGGAGAGGTTGATGTGAAGAAGAAAGTGATATGACGCTGTAGATGAGTTGAAGTCGTTGAGTTGGGCAAAGTTAAAGGGCACAGGGATAAAGATGTAACTCCCTGAACTCACGGGCTGACAAATACGGTACGCTCAGACTATCTCTCAGAGTTGTCCTGGGGTTCAGTTTGAACAAGAAGAGGATAGTCAAGTAAATACAAGACAGGTCACTAAATCTATAGGTTACTTAGCTTATACAAAAAGATTCCTGACACTTGATTTAGGAAAACGAAAGAAACAGAACCCCCCGAAATCTGATTCGAACAGGCAACCTTTTGATTTGAATGACCTCTGGCAGAAGCCATGGATGGGGCTAACCATTTCTGGATAAAGAGATCACGGGCACTAACTCCATAAGAGGCATAGCTTCACAGATCAACCACGGGACAAGACATCGCCAAACACCATCAACAGGCTCTCATTGCCATACATAGTACATTTCTACTACGTATTATCATGCACTCAGTCCCCCGATCATCCAGAGATACATAATTTTTTGCAAGAGACGGATCACATAGAAACAAATGAAAGTCAGAGTACTCAGGTTTCAATTGAAGGGCTTGGAAACTTTTAACACAATTGTCTGCTTCGAATGAAAGGTGGAGGATGCCTCAGCGCTCGCAGGTACTTACATGGCTCTACCGTTCCGAGATGTCCGTTAAGGCATTTCCAGCAATTATGCATATGATAGTTATGCAAATGATGCACAAGCACTGAGGATACTGAGCTACGGAGAACCTTAAAGACAGAAGCGCAGGTCTGAGTCCCACTTCCAATCCGTTACGATACCGTAACCAAAACGGAGATACCGTTTTCTACAGTGGAGGTAGGGGGCCATTGGACATGAGAGCCTTTCTCTTCATAATTCGAGAGTACGAGTTTGAGGTACCTATGCCAAGTTGATCAATTATTTCTCTTACAATTGACTGATAAAGAAGCCTTATGATCAATTCTGACGAGTTGTATAAAATTTAGATTATGGTATTCCTAAACCTAGACCGGAGTTATGATGAGTTATGGACAATAGTCTAAAAATGGGCTAAATTTATGTCGGAAAAGCCAGGTTCCGATTCCGGCGGGGTGACTCCCAACGTCAACTGTTGGAGGGGCAAGCCGTAACACGCCTGACTGAAGTCAATACGATCTTTCCTGTGCAATTCCTCAGGTACGCAAAATGTCGGGTCAGTCAACAGAAGAGAGGCTCGCCCTCATCAAGGAGAACCTCGCCGAGGTCCTCAACCCCGAGATTATCGAGTCCATCCTGGCCGAGGGAAAAAACCCCAAGATCTACTGGGGCACCGCTACAACGGGCCGCCCTCACTGTGGTTATTTCGTGCCCGCTGTCAAGATCGCCCAGTACCTTGCTGCCGGCTGCGAAGTTACTGTGTTGCTTGCCGACATCCATGGCTTCCTCGACAACCTGAAGGCTCCAATTGAGCTCGTGGAGAAGCGCGCCGAGTACTACAAATTCGTTATCACTGAAATGCTCAAGGCCTGCGGAGTCCCTACCGATCAGCTGCGTTTCGTCTTTGGAAGCTCCTATCAAAAGACCGCCGACTACGTTATGGATCTCTACAAGCTTGCTTCAGTGGTGTCCGAGCACGATGCCAAGAAGGCTGGTGCTGAGGTCGTCAAGCAGACTGGCAATGCGCCCCTAAGTGGTCTTATGTACCCTCTACTGCAGGTGCTGGATGAGCAGTATCTCGACTGCGATGTTCAGTTTGGTGGTGTCGATCAGAGAAAGCTTTTCACGGCTGCCACTGAGTGGTTGCCCAAGCTCGGATACCGAAAGGTACGTTTGTGCCATTCTTTGGATAAACGAAGTATGCTGACTTTACAAGCGTGCCCATCTCATGAACCCCATGGTCGCTGGCTTGAACGGAAACAAAATGAGCTCAAGCGATGAGAGTAAGAGCTTCGCCGTATGCCCCTGGCGTGAACCATGCTAATAGATGGCTGTTAGACAGCAAGATCGATCTCCTTGACGCACCTGACGTTGTGGCCAAGAAGATTCGCAAGGCAGAGTGTGTTCCTAAGGAGGTTGAGGGCAACGGTGTCCTTGCACTTGTGGAGTATGTCTTGCTACCAGTTTCTGGCCTGAAGGCCGGTTCTCGATCTTTCAAGGTCGAGAGACGTGAAGGCGAACCCCTGGTCTACAGTGATATCCAGAAGGTTCACGAAGATTACCGAAACGATGTGGTATGTTGTGTTAATGGATGAATTCCTTGCTAAAGCCGGTTACTGACACGGTGTGTCCTAGTTGACACCCCAAGACCTGAAGGCTGCCGTGACCAAGGGATTCCACGAGCTTATGAGCCCTATCCAGGCTGAATTCGAGGCCTCAAAAGAGTGGCAGGAGGTCACACTGAAGGCTTACCCCCCACCCGTCAAGAAGGAAAAGAAGGTCAAGAACAGGGGAACCCGATTCCCCGGAGCCAAGGGCGGTGAGAACGCCGAGGCCGAAGTAACAAAGAAAGCCGAGGACTTGACAATCAAAGACGTACAGGCATCTGAGGCCAACCCTACCGCATAAGGAAAAACACAAAAACGAAACAAAGAGAAGAATCAGCTTCCAAAATATAACCAGCGTCACTTTACCATTAGCGATTCAGCGATGTTAGGCAAGAGTCTGAGATAAACAAAAGCGTTCAGTAGCCAAGTGGAAAGACTAAGATGAACTGATGTATTGAAACATGTAAAGAATTATAAATTAGTGCCAAAACTATCTGAATGAGATATTGGGTTTTTTCCCCAGCCGAGAAAAGTTCCTAAACACCCTCTACCACCCCATATATAGTGATTATATTTACCTGCGCATGAATAGCATGCATGCCTGCTCAGCCTCCTATCTACTCGCCATTGAAGCAGCAAGCATCGTAGACGGAGTAGTACCAGCCTTCCCTAAATTCAAATCCAAGGGCGGAAACAGCAGCATCGTAGAGCTCGCACTGATTGCTAGTGGTGATACCAATGGTCTTGCAGTTGTCAGTCTTGTCACACTCCTCCTGGCACTGGCTAAGGTTATAGTCGTAGTAGACTTGGATGAGATTGCTGTCGGCGTTGTTGAAGAAACCAGTCTTGGCGCAGGTGAGCTCAGAGCTGGGAGGGCAGCTGGAGGTGGCAGCAGCGGAGGTGGTTGTGGTAGGTTTGGAGGTCGTGGTAGGGGCTGCAGTAGTGGTGTCTAGAGTGGTCTTTGGCTTCGAAGTGGTTTCTAGGACTGATGTTGAAGTGTAAGGGGCAGATGTTGTGTCCTTCTTAGCAGTTGGTGTAGTTTTGGCGGCAGGCTCAGTAGTCTCAGCTTCGGAAGTGGGATAAGCAGAACCATTCGTAAGGGTTTCAGCAGAAGCAGAAGTCGTCTCGGCGACAGGGTATCCAGTAGTTGTCTCCTCAGCAGTGGCAGGCTCGGACTCGTCCTTGGTAGTGCTGGTGACTTGCACAGCCGTGGTAGAAAGAGAAGCCTTGGCATCGGACTTGCTCACAACATCAGTGTAGGCAGCAGAAGTTCCGGCTGCGGTCTGCTGAGTGGTAGAAACAGGATACTGAATAACAGAGCTTGAAGCATGAGGTCTGCAAGGGCCGGCATGAGCTCCGATGGCAAAACCAGCCACGAGGGCGGTGATGAAAGTGTTGACTGAAGGCATTGCAAGAGAAGAAATCTAACGAATACCTATTATAGGAGAATAGAATATAATCGAATGGAAGAATGAGTGAGTGAGTGAGTGACGGTGAGTCTTATTGCAGTAAAAGAGTGATCTGCAAGCTCTCTATATAGTAACAACAAAGGTAACTGACAAACAATGAATTACACCAGAATGGAAGTGACCTCACCCTTTTGCAGAATGCAGGCTCCTTTATAAGGGGACTGACCAACCCTCAAAATTGAATATAAGGGCCCATTTTGGGACCAATTCAGGTTGGTCGGTCCCTTGGCGAAAGAGATGATGTCCCCATTTGGAACCTCGACTGCGAAAAGCACTTACATCAGGGAATGGTCAAAGAAGCTAAGCAAGTGTGAGTGGGGGACGCAGGTCCCCGAGCGCTAAGTAGTGAATGGGAGTGACCAATTATTGGTTTGGAGAGGGAGGAGACGCCAGTCAAGGGCGGTTCGTTTAGAGGAAGCATCGTAAGTTTTTGGCCGACGTCTCCGGAAATAATGGTCCTTGTTGCGGTGGCATTAATAAGGGTTCTTCTGTTGCTTTTGCTTTGGGTATGGAAGTTCAGAGCTGGAGCTGGAGCTGGAGTTGATGGCTCTCGGCAAGAAGCGATACACGTGATGTAGATCATCTGAAGATCGTAGATTTACCCGCGCAAGGCAATCAAGCAAATACTACGTAGCGACAGGGTTGAACCAAGTCGAAAGATACCAGGCAATAATAGCCATCAAGTTCTTTGGTCTTTGTTGAGTTGCAACGTGACGGCCTCACTAATCAACCAACAGACCAATTCTCTCGTCTTTGATCAACCAACCCCTTGACGTTGGCTGGTCTTTGTAATACCCCGAAAATAGGTCAATCCTTTCCCACTTTGGTAAATGGGAAGAAGAGTTAAAACAACAGAGAAAATTAAATAGACCCCAGATAAAGTCTGATCTATTTGGGGTAGTGTACATGGCTATCTCATAGAAGAGAAGATAATTCTTGAAATGTTTCAGATAGCATGGTCATTTCGCCCTATGCTTGCCCTATCATTTGGCGGTTAAAGTCCTACATACACCGTAAGGTACTCATTGGTTCCATCCCTGTAACCCCCTCTCCATTGCCAATAGTTCATGTCTTGGCCTTGACAACAGTCATTAATTCATCTTTGTTCTCATCATACATGTTACCTATAGTCAATACAATGCGCCATATGGAAAGCCAAGACTCACAGAACCAACAACACATACCTAACCTTGTCAACTTATCCCCAGAGTTACTACGTCAAATCTTTGGCTACTTCTGCTTACACTGTCGTGGCAAACAGGAATATCTGACTGGAAACACTGAACAACTCACCAGCAACTACCGCCAAGATCGTCAGATACTGGCATCGCTGTGTCTCGTTTCAAGACGCTTTCGTGACGTCAGTCAGGATATTCTTCATCATGTATTTCTCTGGCCCTTACGGAAGTCTTTGACCCAGATATCCTTGCCCCTCTTCATAAGGACCATCGCCTCACAACGGCATCTCGCCTCATCCACCAAAGCCGTCCTCTTCTATTCCACACAAGGGGCTTCATCGATTGACCCTGAGCAAGCTCACGAGGCCTTCAAACAAGTAGCCAAGGTGAGAGGACTGAAGCTGCCAGATATCTGGGACCAAAGAAAGGATACATCACCTTATCGTGAGGCATTCCTTCGAGGACTCATCCTCGGCAAAGCTCAGTCTCCAGACGCAATAAAGAACATAAAAGCACATGCGAGTACTCTATCAGTCGAGCTGTTATTTATTCTGCTTGCCTTGTTGCCCAAATGCCCACACCTGGCTCTTGACATTTCAACTCATCAGTTGTATGACCAAATGCAGGCATTGAAGGTCCTTGGGGTTTCCAGTCTTCCCTTGAGAAACCTCGAGCTCCGTGGTGCCTTTGATTTGAAGTGGCTATCATCGCAACTTATTCCTATTTCGCCAGGTCTCGAAGCTCTGACTCTATATAAATCACTGCCACTGCCTGAAATATCGAGCTTGAAGGCACTTCACCTCAGAGGTTTCAGGTTGAGTCCCGACCAGCTCGCCAAGATCCTCCCGTCGTGTACTGGGAGTCTGAAGGCGTTCACATATGAAGCCACAGATGTTACTTCCTTGCACATTGACGAGCTTTACAACTGGCAAGTTCAGGCAAGCGATGTTGTCAGACACCTCGAGAAGCATTGCACAAGTCTAGAGTCGCTTCATCTTGACCTCCGCATTCGGGCTTTTATGAGTCGAGATACCAAGATAGACCCGATGCCCCACCTGGACACCTTCACAGTCTTACAAGAGCTGTTCCTCAACAGTGATGCAGTGTACAACACTCAGAGTTTGGAGTTCCCTGACGAGGAGTCCCTCACAAATTTCCTTCCACCCAGTATCACGTCTCTCACACTTGTGGAGCCAGATTTCCCTCCACCTCCCGAACGTCTACAGAAGGGTTTGTCTGGACTGGCGAATCTCAGAAGAGAGCAGGGTCGATTCCCCAGGCTGAAACGGGTGACGTGTGACGTCAAGAAAATATTCGATGAAAGTCATACCGAAGATTTGCTCTCACAAGTTGGCATTGGACTTGAATACAAAGAGTTTCCAAGATCCGATTGGGCTTATAATCGGGAACGTTTAGTCGCTTCGCCGTTCATCAGTAGCCTGTCCATAGATGATGAAGACCTACCTAACGCTTGGTTGTGAAGAAGATTGAGGTGCATATGGCAAAGCTCGAGATTAATAAAGAAGCAACACTACATGCCGAGGCTCTGTTTAATAGCTATAGTCTAATAAGATCTCAGTTATAGAACTCTACCTTATACAGTAAGTTCTTAGCTTCCTACTATGGTAGCTTGTGGCATACTTCCAGAACAGAGCTAGGAAGATCCCCGACAAGCGCTGAGGTCAGATCTGAATGGGCCCTCGGCTAATTCATTTATTCTTGTAGAATTGTGTATGAACCATAAGAGCATGAATTTGTTTAAAAGTTATAGAAAAATCATATATACGAAGATGTGAGATTAACAGCATCTTCAAACCCAGAATTTGTCCCCGTCGTTACAGGAGAGCCCAGAATCCTGCTTTGATTGACACGGACCCCTGAACTACCCAGGAATGTCTTTCTGAAACGTGCCTCTAAAATTAGGTACCGTCCCCACAACTTACGAGGAGACTATCCTCAGGGGTTAACTTCAGCCCTGAGCAAGTGGCTGGGGGGCCCGCACCCGCTAACAACAGAGAGTTTGCCCAGTGAGAGGCCTCTAAAGCGGCCACAAATGCCGATTGCGTCTCTGGTTGTGGCTGTCATGTTCCTCTCGAAAGCCCGTAGCAATAGCAACAGAACTTCAGATTGGCGATGACAGGGGAAAATAAAAATATCAGTCAGAATGAACTTAGAAGGCGTACGCAACTCTTTTATGCTGAATCTCTTTTAGAGTTCTAAACTGATCTTATATCAGTGAATTAATGCAACTTTGATTACGTGGTATCAACTGCTTTCAAGCAACACAAAAACGCTCGTGTTCAACGCTGCCCGTTCCATCGTTCCTTCTTCCTGGTTCATCTTGGTGGATTCGCTAAGCTCGGTTCGGTTGTTGATGATTGAATGGAAGGCAGGAAAGAAAGACATGATCCACCTCCTGCCATTTCGACCATCGCTGGGCTGTCATAAAATTATTACTACTACTTTATTAGCAGACAAAGAAGCTAGATCTTTCCAGATTCTTTCTTTATGATAGATCATCGCCACAATAACAAAATCTTTTGATCTGATATTATGACGCCCAAAAGAAGCGATTCTACATCCAGAGTCCCCTGTTAATTAGCACAGAAACGTCCCCCCCCCCTCCACGTCGCCAGTCAGACAGCGGATGCCAACCAAGCGCCAGCGCCAGCCTCCTTCAAGCTAACAAACCATCATCTCGTCCCAATTCTCCCACACGGACGGACCCCAGTTCGCAAGCTTCCGATCCAGTCAACACGCACGCCCGATCTTTTCCCCCATTCAGCCTTGTCCTGCCCAGACAGTGTCAGCCCAAGGGGACAGAAAGGTTGACGAACCAAGATACAGAGTACTGTATAGCTGTCTCGACTTGCAACTCCGTACTCCGTAGGTGTCTTGTCGCTCCCGATTCGATCCCTGGAATTCGCACAACAATAAATCAACTGCTTCCCCTGCATCGGCAGCAGCCGTCTCACCGAACTAGTCCACGCAAGACAGAGACACGCAGCAAATACCACGACAGGTTATCAATCTGCACAACGCAAACGGCGACGTTCTTTCGCCCAATCCCCCCCCTTAATTTACGACGATCGCGACGACTTCCTGCGTACGTCTACGCCTACGTCACCCACTACATCGCCAGTCGATCTCCGACAATCCTTCCACCGCTATAGCGAGCTTTTGGCTCTCACTCCCCCTCTGACAGAATCTGACAGAATCGAAAAAAAGGGACCACATAATCACCGTATCAATCGAAGGGGCTGGACAAGGCAGACCATCATGCCGGGGTTCGCTGATTCCTTCTGGTCGAGCGATTACGCTGCGGGACTCGGTGTCCTGTTTAGCAAGCTTCAACAAGGTGTTCATGAGAACAGACAGGTTCTGACCATCGCACGCCTACGCGCCGAAGCCGAGGAGACGTATGGTCAGCGACTTGGCGATATTGCTCCATCCGCCGACAAGATCACTGGTGGCTTCAGCCGTGATGACGGAGCTACTGTTCGCAAGGTACGATACTATGCTTTGAATCCTCTCCCAAGTGCCCGCAGTCTGCGCCGCAGTCACTTGTGGGGATTCACTATGCGATAACGTCAACATCCGGGTCGAGCTTATAAACTGACAAAATCTAGGCCTTTGATGGCATGCGAAATGAGATGCAAGATGCTGCTCGCAACCACCGTCGCATCGCCCAGAGCATTCGCGACCTCGTTGTCAACCCCTTCTCCCGCTGGTGCGACGCCCACGAAGCTCGTATCCAGGACTCTCAAGATGAGCTGCAAGTGCGCATCAAAGCTCACGACCGTCAGGCTGAGGCAGTTAAGAAGCTCCGATCCGTGTACTTCAACAAATGCCGACTAGTAGAGGACCTCGAAGAGGAAAATAAGCTTGCCTTCCAGGATCCTGAAACCAGCCCCAAAGGCAATCAGAATATTCCCGAGATCAAGGTTCAGCCTCATAAGGAGGAGGAACCCGAGGAGGAAGAGCTATATGAAATTGGCGACGACACTTACCAGCCCGAGCAAGTGAAGAAGATCCTTTCCCAAATGCTCTCCAGCATCAAGATGGGCGAGACCAAGGTGCCAATCCTGGGAACATATCTCAACACTTCCTCTGGTTCCGACATCGTCGAATATTTGCAGCGTAGCATGGGCAACATCGGCGTGGCTTATGCCGAGCGAATTGGTCAAGATCTTGTTAACAACGGTTTCCTTCGTCTCATCGGTAATGTGGGAAGTACATTTGCCAACAGCTCCAAGATGTTTTATCAATGGCGACCCAAGGCTTTCCAAATGGCTGGTGTTCCCGAAAAGAAGTCTATTAACCGCACTTTCTCACTGGCTTCTACCGGTTCTGAGGGCGCTGATTCTCCGGTTGGAACTGTCAGCGAATATCTTGCCAACTGGAATGTTCTCAACAACTCTCACCCTAACGAGACCCCCAGCCAGCGTCTAAAGCGAGAGGCTTCCGAGGCCGATGAGAGGTACCGCGAGGGCGTCCGCAAGCTTGACCAGCTTCGATGCGAGCTTGAGGAGGCTATTCATCTCCATCTCAAGTTCCTCGAGCGTTGTGAGCTTGACCGTCTAAAGGCTGTCAAGACTGTCATCCTCGACTTCTCGGGCACCATTGGAAACGTCATCCCAAGCCTGCAGTCTACTGTAGACCAGATGATGCTCTTCCAGGAGACCATCCAGCCCCAGAGCGATCTACGCTATCTTCTCGAGACCTATCGCACTGGAAGTTTCGTGCCCAAAGTTGTCGTATATGAGAACTATTACAATAAGGTCGATGAGCAGACATTCGGTATCGATCTGGAGGCGCGTGCTAGGGCTGACAAGAAGCGTGTGCCCATGATTGTTACCACCATCTTGACCTATTTAGACCACCATTACCCTGATCTTGAAGGTGACGAGGCTCGACGAGGTGTGTGGTTGCTGGAAGTTCCGCTATCACAATCTCATCGTCTACGCGCTAAGGTTAATGACGGCAAGCCTGTTTCTCCTGATGTGTTTGATGAATTTGATATCCCTACGGTTGCCAGTTTGCTCAAGGTTTATCTCTTGGAGTTACCCGGTAAGCGCAAAAGCTCGATGAATCCCATCTCTATAACATAAACTAACATGATATAGATTCTCTGGTCTCCTCTCACGTTTACGAGATTATCCGAACTATTTACTCTACCCCATCTACTGACGCTGATGAGTCCTCTCGCATTGCTGCACTCCAATCTACTCTATCACAGCTCCGCCTCACCAATATTGCCACTCTCGATGCTTGCATGAACCACTTCACTCGCTTGATCGACCTGACTTCTGCCGATGAAACTTATGTTGCATCTCTTGCTAGCACACTTGCACCTTGCATCCTGAGGCCACGAATGGAGACCTCACTCACAATGGAAGAGAAGCATGCGTACCGACTGGTCCGAGATCTGTTTGCCCACAAGGATGCCATCTTCAGTGCACTGAAGCGTATGTCTATGGTTACACATTCCACTTCTGTTGGCAGCAACAACCGCCCTCGAGCTATTAGTACCGATGAAAGCAACCGCAAGGCCCTTATGGAAGAGCGGAATAGAGCTCTGCTTGAAAAGGCCAACGCAAGCCGCGGTCGTGATAAGAGCCCTGCGCCCGGCCCCCGTGGTCACCGCCGAGACCGAAGCACTGGTGGACCAGAGACCCGATTCCCTATTGCCAGCCCAACATCGGCTGTCGACCGACACCGCACCAGTCTCGGCGGAGTTATCAAGAGACAGAGTCTTGAAGTTCCCGAGCCCGATGGTGCTGCCCCTGTAAATGGCGATGCTGAGAAGGATAGGTCTGATGCCGACTCGGAGAAGCGAGACAGCCGTGACAGCACAGGACGTACGCCTACCAAGTTTGTTGGTGGCAAGCGAGTTCCTGTTGTACCATCGACTCCCCCTTCAGAATCCAACCGCGGCGTGCAGCTTGAAGATGCTCCGATGGAGGACTAGTTTTACGACACGGAGCCAAGTTTTAGACAGCGGTTGGAGGCGGAGTTTCGGTTCTGAACCATGACAGATCCAAATAAAGCCACGCCTTCATCTTGATCTTGAACGGAGTTGGGATTTGGTTAACAGCGGGACTTCAGGAATAGAGGGGAGCGGCTCGGGTTGACTCGGTCGGCTAATCTACCTTGTCATGTGTATGTGTTAATGGAACATGAGCAAAAAAGAACTATCGGTGTACTTTTTTTCTTGTTGTTTTTCTGGGTCTGGACGTGGAACTGGAACTGGTCTATTTTTGTATTTATGCCGTATCAATATCATGATACGGCAGCGATTCCCTATTCGTTAAGAGACTTGTTTCAGGACATTGATCCAGCTCGGGCTTGATGATATTCTTGAGACGTTGTAGATATTGAGCGAAAAGCGGCCTAGCACATGAAAAGGCAGGACATGAGAAATGATTCAAAGACTTTTGATACTTATTATTATCTGTTTGATCCTCCTCCTTCTGACTCA